AGAGAGCTTTGCTCCTTAGAACTGGTGAGAAGAGGCTTCGTGATACATGAAGAAATGACGTCTGTTTCTCGGGTTAAAGACACACACACACACGGACACGCACACGCACACACGACATAGACTGGCTTCCCGTGCAGACAATGTGGGCTCGGTTTTCCGGGAAGCAGTTACCCAGCTAGGAGATCCTTCAGCTGAGAAGCCTGGCCGTTTAGTTCTGGGGAGGGCACTCGGGTACAAAGGCTGGCGGAGGAGTCAACTCCGGCGGCAAACGTGCCCGTGAGAAGCTGGAGCCACCAAGGAGCCCCCAACACCGACGTGTCCTCGTGGGTGAACAGCAAGCTCCCGCCCTGCACAGCGCTGGTCAAACTGTAAAGAGCTCTCACAGTGCACAGCCGTGAGCCTGGAGAACGGCCTCCCAGTGAGCGGTGGGGGAAGGGAAGGGACGGTGACATCCTGCAGGAAGCAGGTCTCCCTGGCAGGCGGCCGTGACTGAGGGGAATGAACCACTCAGCGCTCCCTCGCTGTGCTCAGCACTTTAAAGTTTGCACAGAGACCTGCCTTTCTGGCACTCACCAGAGCCTCTCTCCAGCAGCAAAGGCTCTTGATTTCCATGGGAACCTGAAGCTGAGAGGAGCCGAAGGCCTTTCTAAGGGCCACGCAGCCACTAGGTAGGAGGACCGGGCGGAGGCCCGGGTCCCCTGATTCCACGTCCTGCGGCCTTTGCGCTGCGCCAGTGCCCACTGCTCCTCCCGCTCGCAGGTCCTGTCCTGCTGGCAGCGGGCATCCGGAGAGCCGCAGGGCCTGCGCCGCGCCTGCGCTTTGCAGACAAGCCCCCGCGGTGGAGTGCGTTGCCCGCCCTGCTACTGAGCAAGCGGCAAAGCCACGCTCTGAGCCGGGTCTCAGGGCTCCATGGCCGGCGGTCCCCACCTGAAGCCCTTCCATGCGTCTGTCCTTTCTCCCGGCTCCTGACACTCACACGGGCCTGGGCCGGGAGGTGGCTGCCAGCAGCCTTTTAGCAGAGAAGTTCCTGTGATTCCTCAACGTTTATTAAATAGCCACAGCGTGCAAAGCGCTGCCCAGCCCGTGGTGACGGCTTCCGACTGACGCGATGTTGAAAGGCAGCTGTGACTTGGGCACCAAAGGGCGACACACCAGTGTGGGGCCTCTCGCCGTGCCCGCTGCCCTTTCCCAGGCTCCGGGGGGACCCGCACCCCGCTCCCCACACTGGCGGTGCTGGGAGCTGATCACAGGTGCGGCCACGGGAGAGCAGACCCCCTCGGGGCTGCGGCGTGATTAAACTCTGTGTTGTGAGAAAGTGACACTGTGCTCTGATTCATACCAGCAAATATGTGATTTACATTTAATTCTGAGTAACCTTTCTGGGCTCGGCGAGGTGTGAAGGAACCCGATGGGGCCGCTCTGTGGCAGAGAGGTGATTCATATTCATTAAGACCTCCGCATCAGCCAGCCGAAGGGTGACAGGGCCCAGCCCGCCCTCCTCCCTCTTGCCCTCCGGGGTCACGGCTCCAGGGAGGCCCGCAGTCACGCCGGCTGCCGCTTGGGGCAGTGGGCGCCGGCAGCCGTGAGGGCTGGAGGCTCTGAGAGAAACTGGGAGGAAATAAACAGCAGGCCCACAGGTGACACCGTCCGAGCCGACAGCACTCCAGACGCTGCGTGGCTGTGCTGACCGTGCGAGGGTGGGGAGGGGCGCTGGCTGCGGGGCGGCCGGTCTCAGAGGCCCCAGCCACCTCCTGTGTACTTGTTTACAAGGCACTGTTCAGCCACCTCCGGTTCAGACAGGTCTGGGAGGAGAGAGAGGTGCCCGGGGAGGAAGGCTGGGGTCTCAGGCCCTTGTCCACGAGGGGACTGAGAGGAGGGTGGCGCTTCTGGCCCCCACCTGGGGATTCTGGGGCTCTGGATGGCCTGAGCGGAATTGCTGCAGGGGCGCACGGCCTGCTGAGCCTGGGAGGCCGAAGCAGCGCCTCGAGGGAAAAAGTGCACTTCTCCCTCGGAGGGAAGCCTGGACACTCTGAGACGCTTGGCCGGTCTGTTCTCTTAATGGCAGTGTCTGTAACGATTAATAAAAACTCTGAGGGCTGCTGTCTGCTGAATGCTCGCTGGGTGCCAGGCGCTGATCACAGCCCTCGGGGCGCACGCTCCCTGAACCGTCACAGCCGCTGTCTGGAGGAGCCAGGGCGCTTACTTCCAGTGTGTGGATGAGGACCCCATCGTGGCGGAGAGCCCTGCTGGATACCAGGCGGGCTGGAGCGGGAGCCAGGGGGTCACGGCTTGTTCAGGGAGACCCTCCCCCTGCTGGAAGGGTGTCTCTGATCAGTCCCTCGCTGGAGCTGGTTTTTAGTTACACGAGACCTGTTTTTCCAACAGTGCAGGGCCTGGCTTTGGCGACAGATTTGCCACGTGCTGTTCTGGGCCCTCAGAGCCACCAGAAGGAAGGAGAGCACGGCCCCTGCCCCCGGGGCCTTGGCCTCTAGCCGGGCACTGGGGGGCCCAGCCGGGACCTGGTGAGGAGGAGGGCTGGCCCCTCTGCGGGGGCGGAGTCAGGCGGCAGGCGAGGCCCAGGTGAGGGCCTGGGGGGGGACAGAAGGAACTGTCTAAACAAGGACAGCCCGGCCCCCACCTGGCTGTGGACTGGGGGCCCCGGCTCTGCAGGCCAGCCCAGGGAGCGGCCTGAGGACAGGGCTGCGGCCCTCAGGGTCACACAGCAGCCCAGATGTGACAGGTGCACAGGGAGGTCTTCCAGGACGCGATCCTCTGTTGTCTCTCTCAAGTAAGTGGGGAAAGTAAAACGAGGGGGTGGGGGGTGTTGTCTTAGGTCTGTCTGTGGCCATCCACCAGCACCCAGGCGTTTGAGGCACGTTCCTTCAGCACACGGAGGCAGCGCCTGGAGTCTGGGCCACCCACTGGGTGACACGGCCAGGGAAAGAGGGCATTTAACCATCTGGGCTGGAAAGGGTTAGGAGGGAGCCAGTGTGGGCCTGTGAGAGACGCCTGACCCGGGACAGGGCAGGGGAAAGCAACTGCTCCCGGAGGAGTCCCCAGGGGAGGGACAGCTGAGCTGGGAGCCGAAGGTGGACAGGGCTCCCACCACTCAGGCCGAGAGATGGGGGAGAGCTCCCCCAGTGTCCTGGGGGGAAGACAGGTCATAAGAGAGTGAGAACCGTCCTGGGCAGGCAGTGCTCCTGTGAGACGGGGCAGGGGAGGGCACCCCGGCCCAGGGCCCTGAAGGACGTGCCGGGGACTTTGAACTTCTTCAGAGACCTTTTTGTTCAGATCCTAGAGGCTGGTACTTTCTTTCTTTTTTTCTTAACTGAAGTACAGCCCGTTTACAGCGCCGTGTTAGTTTCCGGCGCACAGCACAGTGAGGCAGTCATACGCACATACGCTCCTTTTCATAGCCTTTTTCATTAAAGGCCATTACACGCTGTTGAACGTAGTTCCCTGTGCTGCACAGTAGGACCTTGTTGTTTATCTATTTTGTGTACGTTAGTTAGTCTGCAAATCCCGAACTCCCGATTCACTCCATCGCCCCCTCTTCTCTCCCCGCTGTTGGGAGAACGCTGCTAAGACCCAGGAGGCATTTATAAAGCTCTCTCTAGAGATGGTACGGGCAGCAGAGCGTGGAGGGAGGGGGGCAGGTGAGGCAGGGCCTCACCCGGGGGCGGACAGGGTGCTCCCCAGGGCGGGGGGAGCAGACCGCAGGGGAAGGGTCAGAAGAGACAGTTGACCTGGATGGAGAGAGGGGACAGCATCCCGGCTGGTGTGCTGGTGTCCAGCCTTTGGGACCGGGAGGAAGCAGCACCCGTTCCTGGCCCAGACGGGAGAGGAAGAAGAGGTTTGGGAGGAAGGATGCTGTGCTGTTTCGGACCTGCTGATCTGAGGCACCTGGTGAGAAGTCTGGAGGGCAGCGGGATGCTGACCCGAGGGGCAGGAGGGAGCCCAGGTGATGAAGATGTGGGGTCATCAGCTCAGAGACGGCACGTGAAGATGAGGGAGGGCCACCGAGAGCAGACCCTAAGCAAGGCCATGTGTGGTGGGGAAGAGGATGCAGAGCCGCGAGCGGTGGCGGGGCTGCGGTGTCCGGCAGCCAAGACAAGAAAGCATGTCAGGAAGAGGAAGTGGTCTGCAGCATGAGGCCCCGTCCACAGACCCTGTGGGACATGGAGTTAGAAGTGTCCACTAGATTCAGCAACAAAGAGGTCAGAGGTGGCCGTGAGAGACCAGCCTCGGGGGCCTGGAGGGGCCAAAGCCAGACTGAGGGAGCTGGGAGGTGAGGAAGTGGGAAACGCTTGTGCAGACACCCCTGGTTAAGAGGTTTGGCTGTGAGAGAAAGCCCAGGGCGGAGCAGTAGCTGGAAGGGGCCAGCCGGTCAAGCAAGGGATGTTTCCAAGACAGAAGAGGCAGCTGGCCCGGGGCCAGGAGAGCGGCGGAGGGCACAGCAGATAAGGAGCTGATGGGCTGAGTGGGTGTCTGGAGGCGCAGGTCCAGGCTGGGCCAGGGAGCTCTGTGCTGGAGACGGGGACATCCCCCCATCTGCTGGCTTTTGGGGTGAGGGCTCAGAGCGTGGGTGCCACTGCGTGGGGGGGCTGGGCCCGTGCTGGAGCCCGGGGGG